AAAAAAATCAAATTTTCATTATGAATTTGACGCCAAAGTACTGTAGTTTTATGCTCTTTGTCATTTGACCTCTTGTTTTGTATTTATTTCCACTCTTATTACTTATTATTTTTCATCAATTCGATATTCGATATTTTAACATTTTTCGATTTTTTTAAACATATCATTCGATTCATTGATTATCAATCGAGGTATTTGAAGAGAAAAATCTGTTGCATCATCTGTTGGCCTATTTCAATATTATAGAAATATAATAAATAATAAAAACACTTTTAAATAGTTTACTTAGACATCAATGTTTTTTTAAGATATTCATTTTCATCTCGTAAACATCGAATATCTTCTTGTAACATTTTACTATGTTCTAATAATATCTCATATGACAAACTTGTTGATAGTAATGATGATGAACTATTATTATTATTATTATTTGATGATATCCTTGTTGGTCCTTGATCGTTTCGAGTAGAATTCTTGTTACTCTTTTTAGCTGACATTTTCAAAATTATTTAAATGATATTTTGTTTTTCAATACAAATAGCTCCTATAGTGCCAGCTATACAACGGTTGAAACAAGTTCAAAAATCGGAACAGAATGGTGATTTCTACTTTGCTTACTTTGAAACGAAATCATCATATTATTTCAGAAGTGAATTTTCATCATTAGATTTACCTTTGTAGTAGAAAAATTCGTTGCAAATAGTTGAATTAATTACTTGTTTTTCTCACAATCGAATATGGTTTTTATGATTTATTCATCTTTTTTAAGATCATTTTTTGATATAAAAAGCACCTTTCCAGTGAATATTCGTATATTATATTTTATAAAAATACGAGAACATTATTTAGCGTCGAAATATTTAATCAATGGACAATGTGGTAATGTGTCAATTAATACAAATCTTTTAGAATATGATTAATAGTTAATAGTAGAGCAACTCTTATGGATAATGCATTATAATGTATTTCAGAAATTCTTCAATAATCTAATAAACCAGTCCAAACCAAGTATTTATTTTCAATTTCTGCATAACAAACGTAGAATCAAAGGAAGAAGAAAAAAAAGAGTAGATTTCAAGTAAATTGAACAATATACACATAAAGTTATAGTTACAATAAAAGTTCGATCTTCAGATGTTCAATAGGACATTATTTGTGAGAAAATAATGTAAACGAAACTATGGCATATCTTCGGATGTCACATTATGATCAAGATCTGACTGATCATCATCTTCATCTTTATTTAACTCTTTACCATTTAACGTGCCGAAACGTTCGTATATACATGATGTCGCGAAAAAGTCCTTGATTATATCACCAAAATGTAGAAATCCCACGCCAATTGCTTCTGAATTGATGCCGGTCATTTTGCAGTTCAGAAGATGCAGCATAATCAACAGCATTATTGTCGAATGTAGAAATGAGAAATTTCGTAACGCAAATTTGGCACGGGATATATATTGAAATGCTTGTTCGGCTGCTTGACTGTTTAAACCAACAAACCGTCCTTCATGTGATGGGTGATCAGATTTCATGATGGTTTGGCACATTGCTCTCGAATGTGTTTTTTGATGAAAGTTATCGAGCGCATATGAATTGGAAGCTGTTGTGTTATTGTCGACGACTTAAGCATATCTGTGTCTAGCCATTTATTCCAGTGAAGCTTCAATGTGCAGGCGCAGTCATACATGAGTGCATCTGGCATAAGACAACCACCAATGATCATGAGCAAAAGATGACGGGTCACCGATCGCATTCCTAGTAAAACATAATAAACGAGACTTTTTACATCATTTTAAGATTTTCTAACATTTTCGAACTCAAAAACATTATTTAAATTTTATTTATAAAAGTTTTTAAATGAACATACCCTCAGCTTTAATTGCTTCTGTAAAGCCGACTGCAACTCCACATGGATGATATGATGCTAATATGCCATACGTTTTATTTTTTTTAATCTCTTCACTATCATTACGATAATTTTGACATTGAACTTTATGTTCTAACAGAAAATCTCTATCCCATTTCTAAAATAACAAAAAAGACAATTATTCTAATAGATAAATGAAAGAAAAACCAAGTCTCGTTTTATGTGAGACCAAACATCTGTGTTAAACTTTCGAGTACATCAGACTGTTGAACGGATGGCATACACATAGTTGTTTGTATGATACTCAATTGAGTGATTTTCTAAGAAGTATTCCACTTTTGAGTTTTAATAATTGAAAAAACTATAAGCTATTATATTGATTATTCTTCTTCATACAACTGTTATGTTCTTTTTGTCTAATATGATTCCGATCATAGATTATTTTTCAAAAATTAAAAGAGAAAAAAAACTTCGTGGCAACAGAAATTATTAGTCTTAAATTAACTGGGTTTAGGACAGTTGCTCGACGGACAGTTGCTCGACGGACAGTTG